TTTAAATTGGGATCAAGAGGCATGCATAATTAAACTGGTCAAGCCCATGGAGTCTCTCCAGCAAGGTGATCTTCAAGGTCATCAGAATGGTGTATCACTCTTCCTAGGAGACAAGCTTTGTGAGGGCTAAAGTTATGTTTTCAGTTTACATGACTCTGCTTAAGGGATCTATAAAACAAAGATGCCTCCCACCTGCAAGCCCCACTTGCCCAAGGACAGATAACTTCCTGGAATGCTAGGGGCTGTGGTTCGTGGAAGGTAACAAGCCCTGTGTTCTCATTTCTGTAAACAAGGTTGGTCGCCCCACCTGCATAGGATGTGCTCGATCACTTGTGGGCAGGAGGTGCACAGGCAGGTGAGCGGAAAAAAAAATAAGGAAGGGACACAACTGCTCTCGGGTGTGGGGGCAGAGGCCAAGGAGGCCGAGGAGGCCGAGGTGATAATCGGGAGAGCCCAGCCAGAGGCAGAGACATCTAGGAGAGGCCAGAGTGGGCATGACCCTGAAAGGAAAAGAGGGAGGGGAGCTACCAGCTAAGAGGGCAGCCTGGCCAAAAGACTGACCAAGTGAAAAGATGAAAGGATGAGGTAACCAAAATGGCTGGATTATACAGGGAAGGTGCGGTGGTTTGAAAGAAAATATCTCCTATAAGCTCATAGGGAGTGGCACTAGTAGGAGGTGTGGCCTTGTTCGAGGAGGTGTGGCCTTGTTGGAGCAAGTATGTCCCAGTCACTTTGTGCTGCTTGCTGATCCAGACTGGAATTCTCAGCTACTTCCCCAGTTCCTTGTCTGCCTGCCTGCCATTATGTTTCCTGCCATGACGACAATGGATGTAACCTCTGAAATTGTAAACCAGCCTCAGTTAAAGATTTTCCTTTATAATAGTTGCTGTGGTCATGGTGTCTCTTCACAGCAATAAGACCCTAAGACAGAAGGGCAGCCCAGCCCTGGGCTGGAGAAGTTTAGGATAGGGGGCAGGATATGCCAGCCTGGAGGGCCCTGTAACCGGTAAGGATTGAGGAAAGCTGGGAGAACCGGGGTGGCCCGCATCCGCTTTGATATGTTAAATAAACTCTTCAGCTAGTCTTCCAAGGTTTGAGACTTAACAGCAGGAAGTACATCTGGATGTCTGCTTGCCCCCAGTTTGATGAAGGCAGGGAGTGAGCAGCCTTGTGGGGTTTGTCTTTCTAAGTAGCTGACTGATGCATTCACAGCCATTCTCTGGGAATCCCAGGTATGGACCTGGCCAGTGTCCATCGTCCTGACCTGTATTTAATAAAGCTTGTTTCAAATTTGACTCAAAAGTTGTGGTAGTGGTCTTATTCTTGCCCAATGGCATCAACAACTTTCCCTCTGGCTGGCATCAGACTTAAATCTATTTCCCCTATTGGCCTGAGAGTCTTTTAGGGAAAGCCTACTGGATTTATTGCTGACCATTGGTTCAATATAGTCAAAGGGCAGGGCACAAGCTCTTAAGAATATTTTCATTCCTGCCAGAATGGTTGCCCTATTCTGCAACTCAGAAACAGGGACTTTTGACCAAGTGTTGTGCTGAGCACCAAAGACAAAATAAACAATCGTGGTTTCTACTGAAGCTTATACTCTGGGCAGGGCTGGGGAGGAAGAGGGTGCAGGCGGTCAATGAACCTATAAATTTTTCACTTCCAATTACAGCAATTGCTTTAAGAATCTGGCTCAACCATAGAGCACATCAGGCCTGGGGCCAGAAAAGTTTTTATGAAGAAAGAGAATAAGATGTGGTGTGACTAAAATTGAGACTAGGCAGGCTAAAAGAAGAGCAACACGTGTCCCCTGCCTGCTCCCCTTGGAGAGGGTGGGGTTGAGTGAACCCTATTAGGTCTTCCTTAGATTTCAAATATGAGAGATTAGCATGGATCATTGGTAGAAACAGACTTGAGATATCCCACAGGGTTGTAACCTATTATGAGAGAACGTGATTGATTAGTTTAACCTCTGGGACCGGCTGGGCTGATGGTAAAGGTGTATGAACTAGAAGTGACTACTTGTCTTCAGCGCTTGTGGGTAGTAAACGTTGGGTGAGAGCCTCTTGGATCCCTGCCTAACCCGCATCTTCCCCAGAGCCAAGGGTATCGTAAAATTTACTCATGTCTTTTTCCAGTGCTCATGAGGCATGAGTAGCTGCAGGAGATGTAATTCTGAGAGTTGGGGATGTTGAGTCGATGATCAGTCAAAGAATAAAAGGTAAAGAGGTGGTGGCACACGCCTTTAATCCCAGTGCTGGGGAGGGGGTGGGGTTGGGAACAGAGTCAGGCAGATCTTTGTGAGTTCAAGACCAGCGTGGTCTACAAAGCTAGTTCCAGGACAGTCAGGACTATTACACAGAGAAATCTTGTCTCAAAAACAAACAAAAAATATCAAATATGATCTTTCCTATAAAATATATAAAACTTGAGCTGGACGTGGTGGCGCACGCCTTTAATCCCAGCACACGGGAGGCAGAGGCAAGTGGATCAGAGTTTGACACCAGCCTGGTCTACATAGTTTCAGGACAACCAGGGCTACACAGGAGAAACCCTGCCTGGAAAAAGTCAAACACATACATAGAACAAGGAATTAAGATCCTTTTCTCTCCCCTCCCCTACCTGGTAAGACTTGCAAATATTTGAATCTTCCCCACCCAGGTAAAGCTTTATTTACACAAAGGCCCCCTGCTCTGTTCCAGCAATTTGATGGCTAGGAGTGACCCTTTTCTCCCTAGACCTGTGGCCCCGCTCTCCTTCCTTCTCTATTTTCCACGCCTGAATTTTTTACAGACTAGCCAGCTGAACAAGATGGTGAGCTTGGAGCCTAGCCAATGGGGAAAAGACACAGCTACCATTTTCCTTAGAATAAAACCCAAATGCACTTCCTGTCGAGGAATGTCCGCTCCCCTGCCTGTTCCCGCCCCAGGACACCCTGGAGATCAAGAGTGAAGGTTTCCTTGCACAGACATTTCAGCTGGAGCGATGGTCTCCCTTCTCCTATCTCAAACTTATTTCTAACAGTGGCAACAGTGGGGAATTCAGTACAGACTTGTGGTTGGAAAGCTAGGGTATTATTTTACTTGTAATATGACAGATAGTTCTCAGGTCTGTGGATATCTTAGGAACTGGAACACAGGAAGCCTGTGTTATAATCCTCTTCTGTTTCTCCGTATATGACCAGCATAATTATTTCTGTCCATCTGCAGAAAGAAATAGTAGTGCTGGCTTTCAGGTAGCTGTGGAAGTGTTTAAAGAGGGCAGCAGTATTACTTCTAGCACATTCTACTTACTGGCAATTAATACTGACGATATTTAATATTAAAGAGAAAATTCATACACGCAAGAAAGGCTTAATAGCAGGGTTGTTTTTTCTATTTTTCTATAGTTATTTTATGATTTTGTAAAATGAATCTGTGTTGCTATTAAAAATCAAACAGACAGGTACAAACTTTGGAAAAGAAGTATTGTAGGCCTGCAAGATAGCACAGTGGGCAAAGGCACTTGCCACCAAGCTTGAGGATACGAGTTCAACGCCAGGACCTACATCATAGGAGGGACCAGTGCCTTTGTCCTCTGATCGCCACACAAGCGCTATAGCATGTTCCACCACCCCTCCCTGTCACACAAAATAAATGTAAAGCTAATTTTATTAAAAAGGAAATATGATCAAACCATTGTTAACCAAATTTTTCAGATCATATTGTTGAAGGAGGTTGTGGACGTTGAAAGCATGTCAAAAGCAGAGGCTGCCAGACATGGAAACAGAGTTACTGATTCAGTCTTTAAAGGGTAAACTCGTAATCTTCCAATCAGCTCTACAGGTCATTGCTCACTGCTCTGTGGGGTGGTCTGATTTGGGAAGGCTGTAGTTTCAAGCCCTTGCTAAGACTTGAGCCTACAATTCCCATGCTGTCCCGCGAACTAGCGCGAGCGAGCCAATTGCCTGCCGGGAGTTGTAGTTTTCTACAGCCAGACCTAGTCTATAAGAACTTGAGCGATGGCTCCAGCAAACCAACCGTCCCACAATGCAAAGGCCACCGGTGACGCCATTAGGCGAGCGCCTGCAGCGCTGCGAGCGGGGAGCGCCGTGGGCCCCACCGCCTCCCACCCTGCCGCCTCCGTCGCCGCCACC